AGCGGGACACGGGGTACGGTATGGGAAGCGGGGTCACCCCTCTCCCTGTGCACCTTGCAAGCACCTCTGACCTCGGAGGAGTCCGCGCTCGGCCCTGACCACGACCCCAGGCACCGGCTCAGGGGCTGCGGGGCTGGTCCCCGTCACCTGTCTTCCTAGGGGACTCGGCACCGTCCCGGGGCCCGCAGTTGGACGGAGGGCGTGCCCCCCTCTCAGCCAGCGGGGAGGGGACGGAGACCCGAGTCTGGGGACCGCCCGCCTCTGAGGACCGTGTGCACCGCGAGGCTAAGGAAACGCGCCCTCGGCCCCTCCTGACAACGTCCTGGGTCAGCAACTCCTGTTTGCGAAGCAGTTACAACGCCAGGGCCCGAGGGACCAGAAACAGGCCGCTGGGGGGAGATGGGCAGAGCGCTATGTAGGTGACAGGACAAAGCTCAGACCCTCCTGCCGCCCCGCCCTCCTCCAGGAATTAAAACCAACAGAAGACGCCCCCCGATCAATCAGGCCAACGCACAACCCCACCTCTCACGCACACGCGCGAGCGCACACACACAGACACACATGCACACGCACGCACGTGCACACACACACAGGACGCGGACATGGGGGCGTTGCTGCCCCCTCCTGGCGAGATGTGGCTGCTGCGCCAGCAACGCCCAGGTGAGGGCCGTGTTTCCGGCATCCTTCCCACGTGGTCCAACAAGGAGGGGAACGGAAACCATTTCCAGGGAAAACGGAAAGAATAAAAAACACCTCCTGCTACTCCCCTGGGGCAGCAACAATCCTGCTCCGTTTGCCCACAGCGACCGAGTGCGGCCTGGCCCTCTCCACTCGCGCTGGAAAGGACCCCCATGCAAAACTGGGCTCCTGGAGACGCTGTCGGTGGGCGGGGTGCTGGGCGTGTAGGGGTACAGGGTGCCCATGTCTGCATTTTAGAAATGTGTCAAAAATACGATGAGTTGATGGATGACAGACGGACAGATGTGTGATCATGAAAACATGGAAAAATACAAACCAACCACGAGGGGAGCATGAAAGGGCGCCGTTCTCCCTGCCGTCCTGTGTCTGGGAGTCTCATGAGGGCGCGTTGGAAAGAACAGAAATGTCCCGGCACCGAGACCTCAGACAACACCTAGCGCTGTGATCGCTGAGGCAGGCGGATGGCTCACTGTCCAATTCAGACAGGACGGGGGGGAGGGGGGGGGCGGATGAGCTACTTGGGCTCTCGAACAACGGAGCATGAGTCTCGCTCCTTAATTAGGACACGTGACCACCCAGCTGGCCCAGGGGCTGGGGAGGCCCAGGGGGCTGGGGAGGGGCTCTGGCTGGGTATTTCCTGTGTCCGAGGTTAATTCTGACCAGCGGTGCTGTGCTGACCACTCCAGCGCCTTTTCTACATCGTCTAAGGTGAGCATCCTGACAACAGCGAGGAGCTTCGAACATCCGTTCTCTTGGAGTGAGGAGCACAGTAGGGCGTGGGCTGGCTCTGTTTTCTTTCCAAAGGGGTCTCACGGGAGCACTCCGCGTGTCCTAGACTCAAAGTGTTTACCTTCCAAGGAAACTGAGGCTCCAGGTCGGCCATGACGGCGGGTTTCCTGGGTCGGGACGCAGGTTCCCGTCCTAACCACACATTCCCTGGCAAGGCTGGGGGCAGGGAGACAACTCCAAGGAAAAGCTCTCCCTGGAGGGGGCGGCGGGGCTTTACACAGGGACCCGGGGGAAACTGTGGGCGTGGGGGTGCGCACGACGCTGAGGGCCATGGGGGCGCTGCCTGGTACTCACCACAATGGGTGAGAGACAGACTGAAGGTAACTACCCTGGCAGCAGCTAAGGGAAGGGGTTTGGAGGTGAGGCCTGCGTGCAGCCCCGCAGGCTGTGTCGTGAGCACCTCGCCACTCACAGTTCCGGGGCCACGTCACCCCACGGGGACAGGCAGGTGATCGGGACAGAGGTGACACCTTCCAGACACGCACTGAGGAAGCCTGTTACTGGACACCTCCCTGCAAAATCCTGGCTGCCTCTTAGGAAAGGGGTGATCCCCTGTGAACACCCGATGCCACCAACACCTGTGTTAGGGAAACACCTTCCTACCCAGAGGCACTCCGCCTGCCACTCACGGGGGCCTATCGCCCGCAGCCCTCACTCCAGCCCTAGAGGAACCTGTGCTCCGGGCCCTTAAACCCTACAGCCCTCTTTCCAGCAGCAGCCGAGGGCGGCCCCACACAGACACCCGAGGTACAGACACAGCTGTGGGCACAGCAGGGGCGCAAGCCTGGCAGGTCATCGGCTCCGCACGTGGCCGCCTCCCTGGGAACGGGCAGCACTGCACGCGGGCCACCAAGCTGCCACGTTCTCAGGAGG